TTGTAAGTATTAAAAATGTGTGTATGAAACTCGTTAGTGTAATTTATAAAAATGAATATCACACATATATCTTGTATAATTATAATGTATTATAATAATTTTACTTCTTTATTAAACTTCATTAATTGATTTAAAAAATAAACAACCGTATATACTCCAGTGTAACTGTACTTTCAAACCGCATTTTTAAATTTTTGTATGTATTTGGCCAGTGGCACACACAGAAATTTTTCAAGGAAGGAAGGGTCGAAAGACCATCATTCTCGCGTATCATACGCCACTATGACGCTAAGCATATCCTTTTGATTTTGTCAATTGTCAGACACACAAAAAAAGTAAAAATAAAATTATTGAATAAATAATAAGCCGCTAATAAAAAAAGTAAATAATTAATTACGAATACTTTATTAAATTTTACATACAATATACATAGGATTATAATCAATTGAAAAAATCGAAGGAAATGGGTGAAAGGCTCGAGAACTCCCCTTGTGTGCGCCATTGTATTTTCCGTATTACGCGCACTTCCATTTTTACGAAGAAACCTGACATGTATGTATGGGATCTCCTTTTGTTTTGAAATAATTTATTTGAAGTTATTATCCCAAGCTTCTGAAATAATTGCGTATTTCTAGAACTACAAGCTTTTAAGTTTATTAGGTAAGTCATTTCTTTTAAATAAACAGTACTTCCATTTATCTTATGTGTTTATATTTTTATTATTATTATTTTAAAGCTATCACTTTTATAGCCGTCGTATGACCCGGGGCACCCGTAAATTTTGATTTTACTTTTGTGTTAAAAGTGCCCGTTATACTCCGGATTAAAAAATATTTTAATTTAATAATTTCTGAAAGATTAAATTCGTAATCAAAATGTTTTTTTTTTGTTTAAAAATAGATTCTTTATGTATTAACAAATATATATACTGATTTTAGCCACTTTATAATGAGAGTAATATTGTAATGCTCATAATAACTCTTATCAAAGAAACAAATACAAAATATATGCTAGTGGTGCTAAGCCCAAATAACTTAATTACTCTTTTAACTTTTTGTTTGGGAATGTTGATCCAAATTGCTTTATTTCCTTTTTTCTGGCCCAGTTGAGCTGCTTGATTGCATATTAACAATTAAATTAGTTTGAATACAAATATTATGTTTCTTTTGCTCTTGAAAGTGAATTTAAAACACAAATGAAATAAATGGTGCGTGACGCCTTAATGGAATTGACCGTATCTTCGTAACCGATTGCATAATTTGAAATGGATCTAAGGTGCTTGTTACTCCAATGATTATTGAATAAAGTTTAGTATCAATTACTAATTACAAATTTTAAGCCTTATTCTGTATTTTCAAATTGAAAAAATTTCAAAGAATTGTTATTTTAATTTAAATTAATAAAATTTATCGGCATTTCATGTAAAAAAACTAATCCGGAAAAAAACATCACAAAAAATTACAATATTTTAATAAATTAAACATACGTTTTATTCAATGAAAAGCGACTTGCATTTCATGTAAAGAACCGATGTGAAAAATAAAATGAATTGTATTGAATATATATTAATATCAAAGATATACCAAAACATGTGTTTGTAAAGCTCATGTTGAAAGAAATTCCTTTACTTTTTATTACAGGATTTCAAAACTAAGGAAAACAGATTATCTAATAATAAGGGTCATGGTCGTTAAAACAATAACAATAACCTGCCCAGGTTGTTAGAGGTATCCTAATCTCGAAGAGTGATAGTAACAACAGGAACTCTCAACAGAAAAGCATCAAACCCACGCTTTCTGCTTGTTCCTGCAAAATCACAATGTTATCCATGATGAAGTCACATATAAGCTGCTAAAACATTTTCCCCGGAAGTTTTTGATTTCGTAAATCATAAAAAAAACCCTTTAAAATGCGAGGCATTTAATGTTGTGCTTACATGAATCCTGTTTTCATACCTTCATTTGTCACAGCCAGAGTATAGTGAAATGTTTTGTTATTAACTATATTAGTCATATGGGATTTTGAAGATCATATATCAAATGCAGTCGAACTGTTATAAGAGATTTGTAAAAAAAAAATTAGGTTTTTACTTATATATATATATTCAGTTCCCATACTATTAGTTCACTCTCTCTCCACACACACACACACACACACACACACACACACACACACACACACACACACACACACACACACACACACACACACACACACACACACACACACACACACACACACACACACACACACACACACACACACACACACACACACACGCACACGCACACACACACACACAAAGCAAGGTGTGTTTTTAGAGATATAGAACTTTAAATTGCAATAAAACAACGATGTATTATTCGATTGACATGAATTTTTTATTCGAAAGATAATCTTGTGGCATTACATTTTAAATATGATTTCTGGCATAGGACTGCCACGGCTGGCTCGGATGTAGTCCAATCTGGACGTCAATTTTCGATGACTTTTTTCCAACGTTTGTGGCCGTATATCGGCAATAACACGGCGAATGTTGTCTTCCAAATGGTCAAGCGTTTGTGGCTTATCCGCATAGACCAATGACTTTACATAGCCCCACAGAAAATAGTCTAGCGGTGTTAAATCACAAGATCTTGGTGGCCAATTCACAGGTCCAAAACGTGAAATTAGGCGGTCACCAAACGTGTCTTTCAATAAATCGATTGTGGCACGAGCTGTGTGACATGTTGCGCCGTCTTGTTGGAACCGCAGCTCCTGGACATCATGATTGTTCAATTCAGGAATGAAAAAGTTAGTAATCATGGCTCTATACCGATCACCATTGAGTGTAACGTTGTGGCCTTCATCGTTTTTGAAGAAGAATTCCACCAGCCCATAAAGTGCACCAAACAGTCAGTTTTTCTGGATGTAACGGTGTTTCGACATACACTTGTGGATTAGCTTCACTCCAAATGTGGCAGTTTTGTTTGTTGACGTAACCATTCAACCAGAAGTGCTAAACAAAATTCGCTTATGAAAATCGACCATTATTTTCGAAATAAAATTGCACAATTTGAAAGCGTTGTTCAGGCGTGAGTCTATTCATGATGAATTGCCAAACCAAACTGAGAATAAATCACTTGACAGCTGTTAAATCGGTCGCCATCTTGTAAAGTAATGCCAACTTAAACTTCTATACCTGGAAAAAAAACACTCTGTATATATATCTTTATATATAAAAATCTTCTATGCGTGTGTTTGTCACTAAACTCCTCCTAAACGGCTCGACCGATTTCGATGAAATTTTTTGTGTGGGTTCAAGTAAATTCGAGAATGGTTTAGATTCACAATTCGGTCCTATATCGCAATTAGTTAAAAGATATTTAATTAAAAACATTCAAAAAATACAACTCAACATTCACCTGCATTGTTGTAACAACGCTATTGTTATAAACAAGTAATATAAAAAAAATTTTAATCAATTCCTACTTAGATCAACCAAGAAAAAATTTATTTTAGCTACTTTTTATTAAATAGTTGCAATTATTATAAATAGGTGTATACATATGACAGAATCACAACATTAAGTGTTAATTAATTTTTAATAATTATCATTAAAATATCGTATTGTCATCCAAAACAATCGTGTATATAAAATTTCCTTTCAACTGAATGCTTTAACAGGTGAGAAAAAAACCTTTTTCAAATTTTGACATAAGTCGCCAAAAGGGTCGCTAAGTCGTCAATGTGGCTGTATTTGTAATTTTTTAAACAATTTGTTTTAATCAATTAATTTTTATTAATTATAATTAAATTATTGTATTGTCATCCAAAATAATCATGTACATTACATTTCAGCTCAATTGAGCGCTTTAAAATATATTATATGAACGATTGAAAATTCCACCAAGATAAATAAATAATTAAACAAATAAAATATGTATAACGATCGTGAGCTAATAGTAGGAATTGCAAAAGATGTAAGTTGGCGTCGAAAATTGATTTTCAGCCAAACTGGACAATTAATTGATTGAATATTAACATCGCACCGTTCAGCTACACGAGGGCTTTTGGCGACGAACCACGTAATTTTGAACCATGGTCAAGTGACGTGGATGACACCTGAGCTGGCACCCCCTCTCCTAACTACCACACCACACCAACGGGAGGACGTTTCAGCTCTCGACAGATTAAACGTGCATCGCTGTCCTACACGGCGGGTCTTTAGCCAAACTGGCCAAACCCGGTCTTTATTCTTACGAAAATGCAGACGATTCACGCTTTTTAGCGTTTTTTAATATCTTTTCAAATAATCGTTATATATGTAATTCTTTTGTGCGTGTGTATGTAACCCATCTCCTCCTAAGGTCTAGACCGATTTTGATGAAAGTTTTTGTCTGTTCCAGCGGACTCGAGAATGGTTTAGATTTTTATAATGCGGTTTAGAAATGTTTATTTAATTAATTTTTTATTTATAAATTGTTGATCTTGGAATGTTTTACATTGGATCCGGCAGACTGCACTACGATCGCAGTATTGAATATTCAAAAACTTTTATTATAATTCAAGCTGGTCCCGACAGTTGATGATGTGATCATTTTAGGAAAATATTTTGTCACTTCGTGTTATTATTTTGTTGAAATAAATCGTGTGTTAATTAAATAATTATATTCAGATGCAATTAGTGTTTCAAATTTTACTCAAAACGGTCCAGATTGTTAAAGCTTATTCATAAAAATTTGTAATTTTTGAATTTAAGATGTGTGTACAGGACAACGTCTGTAGGGTCCTCTAGTATATAAACATATATCTTGTTCAAATTTCCAATCGTTAATAAAATACTTTCTATTCATTTCATTCAAGTTCAAATACATTTTTTTAAACATGCAGCGGATGACACTTGATGATAAAAAAATTTTTCAAATATTAGTTCATTAGTTAAACTTAATGAATAAATAATAATAATCAAAAATAATAGTTCAACACCATATATAAAGAGGAAAATCGCTGCTCGTCTTGTCCTTAAGCGCAAGGGATAGCGCGTTGGACTTCTAATCCAAAGGTCGTGGGTTCGAATCTCATTGGAATGACCTAATTTCTGAGAATGTGATTTCTTTTTTACTAAACTATTTTATTAAAATAATTAAATTTAATTAATGAATATGTAGTAACAAACAAACAAAATAGTGCAACACCCTATGTAGAAAGAAAATTGGAAAATTACTAGTAAAATCGCTTTCTATTTTGTCACTTAATATTGTGAATCTGTCATATGTAAATACATATTTATATTAATTGTAACTATTTAATAAAAAGTAACTAAAACAAAAATTTTCTTTGTTGACCTAAGTAGGAATTGACCTAAAAACTTTTTTATATTACTTATTTAAATTTAGAAACGCTTTACAACTATAGGTAGTACATACATTTTCAAACGATTATGTATATGATAACATAAAGTAACTGAAATTAAATAACTTGGAATGTGTTGTAGAGTTATCTTATATATGTATCTTTTTTTTTTGTTTATTTTAAAACATTAGTAATAGTTTCCGTAAAAGTTTTTTAATGATTTAATAAATGTTACGAATATTTGTAACGAGCCTCTCTCTCTCTGCTTTTGTATGTATATGGATTACCCGAAAGAAGAGACATTTTTTTCAGCAAGCTTTTTATGCTTATTATTGTTAATTAATAACAACTTTTGTTATAGCTAATGGAGAGAAAGTTGTTTTAATCTAAACTAATATATTTATCACTAAAGATACTTATCTATTAAAGTAATTACTCTGATCAATTATTTTAACGCGATCCGCAACGCCTCTGATCCTGTTTCTGGATACACGAATAATTCAAAAATCAATTTTATAGATGTGATTTAAACTGACATCAACATGTCTAATTACTATTTTCCACCCCGAACTCGATTCACTTAACTATAAATAGCAATATACATTTACATAAATCGCCATTCCCTTACAGAAGAAGGTTTTCAAATCAAACAATTCATTGAAAATAGTTTCACACTTAGAACAGCGGTTCTTAAACTTTCGATCGCCGCAAACCCTCGTAAGTATCAGCCTTGCATTGCGGGCCCTCCAGTTTTCAAAAAACTCTCTCTGTCTCCCAACTCATGGCTGAGTGATTTAAAGGCTTCACAATAATCCTAAGACTACTTCTGCTACTTTTACCGATTTTTTAAATGCTTCTTTTTTTCCCTTTAAAAAAAGTAAATATATAATTATATACCAAAACATTACAAATTTCAAATAAATGTAAACAGTATATTAATTACAATTTTTAATGAGAAGGATGCGGCTGAATTTCTTTTACAAGTGCTGTTATATCAGGTGTAAAATTCGAAATCTGCAGTTTGAATTTCGGTTTAAGGCTTTCGGGACTATTTCTACTATTTTTTGAAAATATTACGTTGTAGTAATGATGTACTATGTAGTTACGAGCAATAAAAAATGATTTTATATAATTCATCGGAAGACGTGTTCTAGCAGTTTTTTTTCATTGGGGCAATTTATTATTCTATAATCTAGGAATCTTTCAATTTTTCAAGAGGCCTTTTCAGAGACTGCAAAAAAGGGAAATCTTAACATTAAATGACAAACTTCTCGAACCCCCTAGAAAAGCGCTGAAGACCCCCTGGGGTCCACTAACTATAGTTTACCTAGAACCACTAACCTAGAGGATTAGTAGAACCCATAAGAAATTGGTTTAACTCTTTATCTACCAACGGTACTTATAAGTACCACTGACTTTAAAATTGCATAAAATAACCATTTTTGTGAACACTCTGACGATACTTAGCAGGAATATTCTTTGAAATTCACTCTTCCAAGATATATGACAGCACGGGTTGTACGATGAGTATTTTAGAGAAGGCGAATAGTTTTACAGCAAAAATTGCGTTTTTTCAGCGGATTACGAAGATTATCATTTTTGTCCCGAAAAAATAGTTAATGTCAAAATTTAAGTGTATTATTTTTTTTGTATGTTAATGAAGACCGTAGAAAACTTTTTGACTATTTATTTTAAGTGAGCAATGTATATAATTAATTTTAGAGTTAAATATCTTTAATTAATTAGCTCTAACGGATCAAATTTCCCAAAGTTGAGTATTTTGTTTATGTATATCTCTTAATTTTGTGATCCAAAAAAAATATTGCAAGAAAAAAACTGCAGTAAATCATAATGCGATAGATAAAGGGTTAAGTAATGATTCAATCATAAAGCAGAAATAGCGCGTGAGTAGTAATAGTATAATGATTTGATCTGGGAAAAAGATAAAACGAACTGCTTATGGTACATTTAGTTTGGAAAAGCATTTCTGTGCAAAACTAACAGTAAATTATGTGATTTCTGTCATCTGTTTATCACAAAACAATATCATATTGATACAAAATTTTCCTAAAACCAAGAAACAGCGTCATGTAAAACGTTTTGTTTTGTTGGTAGACCACCAATTTAATTTTGCTACTTCAGTTTTCTTGTTTCATTTAACATAAAAATGTATTCAGTTGATGATACGCGTTTAAAAAATACTTATCTGAGCCCGAGAGTCAGGAGAGGTTAAACGTTTTGAAAAAAGATTTATTATTTTCCTCGCTACACGCCTATCTCATCTCCAACTCGAGCTTTCCTAACCGAGAAGCAATCTTTAAATTAGGTTGTTATTCTTTTCGCATTATTCGCAAATTTCCGCTTCTAATTTTCTTTTAGAGATGATGTATTTCCTAACTGCTGATCTCATCTTGCCCATGAACCCTCGGAGGAAAGGAATTTCTTACTTTGCAGCAAATTTTCTCTTTCGATAAACAATAAAGACGTCTTCCTGTCTGGACGCCTCAAAAAACTTGTTCGCAACTCTCCAGCATTGATACTTTTTTCCTACCTTATTTCCCTCTTTTACTGACGACGTTCCTCCGTTGAAAAAAACTGATTATTATTCATCAGACTCTTTGGTAACTTAACATTCAAAAGATATTTTTCTCATGCTTCTGCTTGTGACGATGCGGTCATCAAAGCTTACCTTTGCCACCGCAGCGCATAAAAAACGGAATCTTTCCTATAGTCAAACAGTGTAAACAACCTTATACCAGCATCCGAAATGGGTGATCACATAAATGATAAAGGGAAAAAAAAATCTTTTTCAATATATCTGGTTTTTCCCTTTACTCTGCGCCGCGTAGTTGTCCACCTACACATATGGGAATAAGCACCTGTTACGTAAGCATTTGATGATGCTTCATCTTCAACTGAGAAAGACAGTATTTGATGAAGAACGTAGGTAAACAAATCCCAACCTTTGTGTAGAGATGAATTTTTATGTGTTCAGTGTAACATCCATGAAACAAAGTGCGGGAGACACCTGAAAATTTGCATTTGTACTCCTCAACGATCAGTTACCTTTCTAACGGGGTTATACTTTGATGTTACATGAGTACCATTTATGACGAACAGTTTTCCGTTTAAATCTCAGTCTCATTTCTCCCCTTCAAGATTGAAAGAAGTAAAAGAAGCAAAATAAAATACTGCATTCCATTTGAAAAATTTATGATACGTTTTTAATTAAATTTTTTACTCGGTGCTATAAAATATACTTCAATGCGTGTTTTTCAATTACTTTTTTCAAAAATTGAAAAACTTTTACTTGAATAATAAAAAAAAAGACTTACATTTTTTTTATTCCTTTTTTTAAACTTATCTCTGCTACACAGTGGCGTACACAGGAATTTTTCAAGGGGGAGGGGGGTCCTGGGTCGGAAGTTCCCCATTCTATTATCATGCTCCAATACGCCACCCAAAATATTCTTTTGATTTTGTCGATTTTCGGAAACAAAAACAGTAAAAAATTAATTATTAATTTCAAATACTTAGTTAAATTTTACGTATTATATACATCTGATTATAATCAAACGGGAAAAAAATCAAGAGCTATGGGGAGTTTGAACCAGGAGATCCTTCCCCATTGTATGCGCCACTTCTGCTATATAATATACAGTATAAACATATAATTTTATTATTTTCTCTTATAAAACTCCATACTGTTCCAAATATTAATTAAAAAAAGAAGTTAGTTACAATTCTGGAATGTTTTAAAATGTTTACAATTATTTTTCTGAAAAATTCAGTACATAATCTTGAAATATCTTTCTTTTAGCTATAAATTATTTTTTTGGTTGTTAATTATTTCGCTTTCTCTTTGAAGTATGATATAAGATATACGAAACGCAATCTAAAAGATATGTTTTTAAATGTCTTTTTGTTTAAAATGCATTGAATGATAATCTTAATGTGTTTCAATTTTTTGGCGATTTTTTAGCTTTTTGGTTAGTACAATTATTTTCATAACAACTTTTTCTTTTAAAAAAAATATGTTATCTGCGTCATTAAAATTAAATTTGTGTAGTTTATTTTGTTACATTTAATTACTAGAGCAAGAACTTTTTTGAAGTTCATATGTGTGATTGCTTACATCAACATAATTTTGCACTTAAAAGAGTTCCACGAATTGAGTAATAATGTTTATTTAAGAGATTTTATTATTTATTTAAAACACAAAGATTTTAAAATATTAATACAATATTTACAGATAATACAATTACTAATTACATGAATTTTAAAAATAAATGAATTAAAAGATACCTTTTGTTGGATTTTAACACGCGAGTGATCTTTTAAGTTATCCGACTGCGTTCGGAACCGTGATTTTAAGAAGGCGCATAAAAGGATAATGTTCATACTATTTAGTGTCACTTAGATTAGAATACATGTATAAAATTATTTTAAAGACATTTTGGCAAAAAAAATTTATTTAAATACAATATTTCGGCAAAAAATTAACTTAGAATAACCTTTTTTTAAAATGTTCTCCTTTTTTAAAAAAATGCTTCTAAAATAATAATATTTTGCCTGTATAAAGTAAAAACTTTTCCAGAGAGTCTGAACTATATTTTTTTAAAAATCCACATTATTTTCAGTTACAACCATTTTAAATAATTATCAGCGTTTTTTTCTTAAAATTTCTCCCTTCTGTTGTCGTAAAACATGGATAAACCTACTTTTAAGCTATGTATTTCA